ATCATCCCCTATCCCTAACAATAAGATTTAGCTAAGTAACATGAATTCAACACAAGAAAGCATTTCACCCCAAATAATCATTCTCATGAATTAAACGTGATGAAAAATACTTACAATCAATCCAATCCGAAAGTTGAATCCAAAATACAAGCTTAATCCCTAAAATGGAAAAGAAAGAAAAATGGAGAAGAAAGATGGAGAAGAGGAGAAGAGAAGAAGAAGAAGAAGGAAAATGAAGGGGGGAGGCGATTTTCGGACCTAGGGTTCCTCCCCCTTCAAGTTGGAAGTGAAAGAATGGAGAAGAAAACGAGTTTTTGGGGTTTTTAAATCATTCTCGGACTTGCAGGGGGCCTAAGGGGGGTTAGCGCCGCTAAGGGGGGTTAGCGCCGCTAAGGTGCCTTAGCCGTTCGAGCCAGTAACGTGTAGCGCCGCTATCCTGTGTGCCTTAGCGCAGCTAAGGTGCCTTAGCGACGCTAAGGTTCTGGGCAGCCTGCTGGACTTTGCTTTTCGGGCTCGTTTGGGCTCGTTTGAACTCGGAATTGAGTTCCGTTTTTTCCTACGCGTAGCTAACGAACCCCTCTATCTAACTATGTAATCTCAGCACATATTTTCCTGAAAACTTGTCCTCCCAAAGCTTCCGACCTGCACACAAAAAATGAAAGAAAAGACGAAGAAAACCGGAAAAACACAGAAATACTCACAAAGACGCGAAACACGAAATAAACGACACAACGACTCTAAAACCACACAAGTGACTCAAAATGGGGGAAAAAGAACGAGAAAATAGACACGAAAAATGTAACAAAAATGGGACAAACAGTGATCAAGACCAACGCTAAATTCCAAACCGTCTTCCTCGAGAGATCGACCCGGGGAACGAATCTTTTGATTCGGTACTCGGTAAAATACAGTGGGCCGAACCTAAGAAAAGACCTAAAATAGGAAAAAAATAAAAGCAAGAAAATGACGAAAATAACAACAATAATGGGACAAACAGTCTTCTTATTCTTCCTCTTCTTTTCTTAATCGAAAATAGAAAGGACAATAGCAACAACAACAACGACAATGTTATTCATACATTTCACGACCAACTTTATTATCAACATGCAGTACAGTACACAACATAGTAACGACGATGACTCGATTATATTTCATCATTCCAATTTCAAAGTCAACAATTTTGTTCGCAAGTACAAACACCTCCATTCCAATTCGATTTTGGGTGGTCGCAGAATCCACTGGCGTTTTGCGATCCACAGTTGTCATTACAGTCTTCACAATCACAGCCTCTCGGGTCCAGTACCCATTAAAGACATTGGTTGCTGGGTGGACTGCTAGGTGGACTCGCCGGTTCATAACTTATGAGAGATGATTTCATTTGGTTGTCGCTATCTGATATCACAACACAGAGTACAACTGCACCACAAGAAATTACAACAACAACAACCAATCAATTTTATCACCTATTTTACTGTTTCTAAAAAAATATGCATTACATTTATTGTTATATATAAATAATGTATAGAACCATTTTTTTTCAAACCACAAATACTATTATATAATCTAACATAATGTACAAATAGTAACCAAATAGTAACGTTACCATTCTAACAGTCGAGTGACAGAGAGAAACGAACGAGGGGGAATCACTTACCCTAAGAGCTCCCCTCCACAAAAAGGACAACTATACCAAAAAAAACTTCACAACAATGGAGACAAAATACTCCACAAAGGGAGACTAAAGTCACTAAACTGCGGAGCAGAGCGCAAAAGGAGCCCGACACCAAAATAAAAACCTATAAACAACACACAAAAATAGTAAAACAAGATAAGAATAAACTATTGGAAAACACAAACTAATTATAAACTAAAGCTCTCTCTGATTACCAACAAGTTTTGCCAACGCTACGATCATAGCCAACTAATCGATGTCGCACACACAAAGTAAAATACTACCACAATTCGAAAATAGCAGAAACTCCCGACTAAAGGCTAACCAGATCTGACACTTTAGAACCAACTTCAATTAATTTGCTAAAATTTGAGTAGAATCTATAAGAATTCACAAATTAAAATTACGAGTAGCACTTTCAATCTATGTAAAAAAAAACTTCACAATAATATAATATATTAAGTATTTCTAGTACGAAACTAGTATTTTGGCAAAAACAGTATTTAGTGCGTTACATACCGGCCAGACCACTAATATCCAATAATATCACCGGTGGTATGGTATTTACAACATTGAATAAAAACAATCCAAAATCTAAAACAATAGAATACAAATAGTGTAAAATTGAAGCAGAAACAAAAAAATGCTAGTAAAGAGGAAAATGTGTAAATAAATGCCTGGTAGAAGAAGGAAAAGAACCCAAAAATACTTGGCCATCTCAAAATTTGCTTTCATCTTCTTTCTTTATATTTGTCTCTCTCTGGGTGATTGTGTGTGTGTGCCTGCCTTCCTATTTAAAGATTTTATCAACTTGATAAAGTATTTTTTGTCAACTACCATACAATGAAATAGTACTCACATAATAATGATAAATCTTGGCGTACCTTAATTTTAGTTCTGAAGTTTATGATTGCCTCGCATTTAGTAAATTAAATATGAACATATTCCACCAATGAAAAATTAGGACTTAAAATTTTTACCTTTATTCAGATCGCCATTCACTTTTATTTATATTTTTTTTTTTTATTTATGCATCAACTTAGTCCAAATCCAACTCATATATACATATAATTTCTCATGTATAATAATTGGACTTGTGGACTAAATTCTATAGGGTTTGTTTGTATACAAATAAATTACTAGTTTTTACTGGTTTTTTTTGGTTAACCATGTTTAATTTTGAATAAGTTGGTTTAGTTAGTTTTTAGTGGGATAAGAAAATAATATTTAAAATAAAATAATTAAAGATGATTTGATGTAAAAGTAGAAGAAAAGTTATGTGATGTGATGGTAGTTAAAATTATGTGAGTGGATGAATATGAATTAAAGTTGATGTGATGTGAAAGAATAATTGGTTGATATTAATTAAGTATATTGATACTATTGTTGATAGTGTGGTTAAGTTAAAGTTGACTTCAATTTTGAGATGATACTGAATATGATATAGGATATTATACTAGACTGGGTTTAATGGATAACAGGAAATATATTGAAGAATAAGCCAACACATGGCTAGGACACGTGACATAATGCTAATGGACAAGCCCAACTTGGGCCATAAGGTACACTCCCCCTATAAAAGAGGGCTAAGGTATCTCATTCTCTCATTCTCTCTACATTCATAATTATACTTATGGGATTTGGAGTCTTGGAGTGATTCTGACTTGAGCGTCGGAGGCCCGACGCCGGGAACCCCTCCCGGCGTTGGGTTCTTGCAGGTACGGTGGCCGTCCGAGTTGAAGGAGCCCGAGTGAAATTTTATTTACTTCATTGGCGCCGTATGTGGGACCCGTTCGAAAAGTCAAATGGAGTTCCGATCGAAAAATCTCGAAAACTTTCCAACAATCTTCTTCATCTCCACCGGCCGCCGCCACTGCCGCCGGAAAACATGCTTCGATCGGAAAATGGTGGGCATCATCGGGTAGATCTCCTTGAGGTGAATCTCCCCTTAAAATTTCATGCAAAAATTCTTCCGGAAGGGCGTCAATTTTGCGGTCAAACTTTCCAGATCTAGCAAAAACTTAGTCAAAATCGTAAATTCAAATGCATTTTCTCGACGATCCAAGAGGGCTATGAAGAATCCGAGGGTACCACTGAAATCCTCCCGACGAGGCAAATCTCCAGCTACCAACCATCGCCGGACGCCGCTGTCTCCGCCGTCGGTCACCACCGCCGTCGGTCACCACCGCCTCCGGCACTAGCCGCCGATCAAACTTGTCGCATCGAAAAAATCTCTACATCACTTCGAAGCTCTTATCATGCTCGTTCCGCCCTTAAATTTTCAACCAAAAATTCTTCCAGGAAGATCGTCAATTTAGCAGTCAAAGTTCTTGGATCTATGAACAAAATGGTCAACCTCCGGTTTCTTCTCTGATTTCCCGTCGATTTTTGGCGAATCACTTCAAACCAAGAATACCATCGGATTCTCCTCGCCAGGGCGACCACACGGACGGTCATTTTTGCAGGAGCCAGTAACTTTTCTCCGGCGACGCTTCTTCTCCGGTGAGTTGCAGCCCCTCTCGCATCCCCCAGTCCGTTCAGCGCGAGCCCGCGCTCTGCAACCCAGCGAAGAAGCCCACGCCTTGCAGCCCACGAAGGAGGTTGGTATGTGACCCAGCATAATTTACTCACGGCCCAGCAAGAAGAACCGCAGCCTAACTCCCGTCCATCCCAGCGCGCGGGCCGCGTCCAGCCCGCGCGGCCCGCTCACCTCACAACACCTCGCTCGCGCAAATCCCGCACAAAGCCCACGCCGCTCCCAGTATCGGGCCTGCGCGAAACCCGTATTCCAGCCCTCATTGTCTCCAGTAAGTAGCCCAGTTCTGGCCCGTGTCCAGCGCAGTTTTGGCCCGCGTCGAGCCCCGTTGCAGCTTGCGAGTAGCCCAACTCACCTGCCACCCTTCTTCCCGGCCCAACAGCGAGTTTTCTGCAGCCCAAAGGCATTTAGCCGCGGCCCAGCGCCCTGTATGCATCCCAGTTCACATGTAAACCCCCTCCAATGGCGCAAAGAGCTACAGGCTTTGGTCCAACAGTCCCATTTCGTGCCCAAGACTAATTTCAGACGATTCAATGCGAACGTGGAGGAAAATTTAAGTAATGTTATCATGGTGAAGGTATGGAGTTAATTTAAATTTTGGACTTGAAGATTTAAATTGGTGAAAAGGGGAGAAATTATTTGAACAGTGGACTAATTTATTCGTGAAGAATATATTCGATTTAGTCGTGCAAAACTATTTTATTTATTCGTGGGATTATTTGATTTACCCATGAGATAATTGGTTTGTTGCGGAGTATCATTGAATTTATTGAGGAGTATTATATGATTTAATCGTGGATATATTTGATTGTTTGAGGATTATTTGATATATTCGGGGAGATATTTGATTTATTTGTGGAGCATTACTTGACTTATTTGTGGAGTAATATTAGAGTTATTTGTGGAGCACTATTTTATTAGTTCGAGGAGAATTATTTGTTTTAATCGTGGAGAATATTAGATATATTCGTTGAGTATTATTTGATTTATTTGAATAGAATATTTGATTGATTCGTGGAGAATATTTGATATATTCGATTTATTCGTGGAGTAATATTGGAATGATCGTGGAGATATTTGATTTGTTCATGGTGATATTTGATTTGATCGTGGAATTATTTGATTTATTCGAGGGATTATTGGATTCGATCTTGGAACTATTTGATTTATTCGTGGTGGTATTTGATTTATTTGCGGATAACTTATTTGATTAAAAATAAATGCGGGTCGTGGTTTCGATTTGAGGATATTTTATTTGGTGCATTTATCAATGAACTCGAGGAATGGATTAAAATTATATAATTTGATATTTGATATATTCGGAGCCTCTCATTTAGATTTTCATGTGAAAATGTGAAATTTTGTTGAAATGGATTATTCATAACTTTTTGAGCATGCCATTGCTCGAGCATATCTTATGTAGCGCCCCGTTTTATTTATGGATTTATTGAGATTATTATAATGATTATTTATTGTCATTATTATTAATAATATTATGAATATTTATTTAATGTCTAGTTGTAATTATTTGCATATATGTGAATTTGTATTATTATTATTATTATTACATAATGTGTGTACTACAATATATATTGTTCGGTTTATTTTAATCGCGAAATCGAGCCCGAGAACCCGAGTCTTCGAAACTCACGCACATGAATCGGGCCGATAAATTGAGAAACCAGCGAGCCCAAACCACGCTCCAGCCCCAACCCGGTCCGCCCATGAGTGTGTGTGTGTGTGTGTGTCTTGAAGATTAAAAAAAAAAAGGGATTAACCCTAACTGCTTAAATAAATACCGTGCCTTTAATCCTCTCCCCTCAACCTCTTTCACACGCAGCTTTTTGTTCTTTCGTCATCCACCTCATATCGGCAGAAACAGAGAAAATAAAAATCTCACGACCCTCGTTCATCGTTTCCATCTCTTCCTCACCTCCGTCACCATCCTTTCGCTATCGCCGCCCGATCTCAAGGAGTGTAGGAACCGATCGCCGCCTGCCTTCCTCCACCGCGAGACATCACCAAGAACCAGCGGAATTCCGACGGCCCTCTTCCCTCCGTGACCAACAGCAACCTCGCGAAGGGCGTTCACTGCTGCTCTGCCCCGTCACGCGTCTCAGACCGCTGGCATCCCTCTACCGCGAAACA